TTGCACAGCCTTAGCTTATGGATTATTTCATTCGAGTTGCGTAAAATTCAAATATTTGCTTGATCTAGCATAGAGGTTATTCCCTATAATTATATGGCATCTCTCACATTACTGCCTATTCAGCCCAACTGATCGGAGATATACAGAACTGTGTTTTTAATTTCGATAGAGCCTTCAGAGTGAGAGCTGGTTTTGCCAGCGTTTATTAAGCTAGAAGTATGCGCATAGCAAATCCGAATAGTTTTACTGTGGAGATTTCTGATCGAAAAGAAGAGAGACAATTTGCCGATGAAGCATGCAACATGCTCTCGTCACAGAGGCAATAAATAAGAGTTTCTGACAAACAAATCTGTTAATGACATTTACGAGTCTATGACAATGGATAGACATCTTCATGTAGACAAATTAAAAAATGAAACTTTTATCTGGTTGCCTATGTGTATTTTCCGAATACTTTTGTTTTTGAGTTCTCTAGCAAAGGTAAGCACTTATAAGCATTGGCGTAGAAAAGGTATGGGTATTTCCACACTCCAGAAGAGCGATAGACTTGGACGACACTGTGCGACTACACGCTACGCGCATGCATTTGCGTCAATTATGAGAAAGGGAGCTAGAGGCAAAAATGGTGCGACCAATAGAGAATGATCTTACGAATTTCTAGCAGAATTGCGAGGGATATTTAAATGAAAGAAGGCAAAAGACATTTAAAAGGAGAAAGTTAGAAAAATTATTTATTGTCGTAAACCCTCTGCGTATTTAATCGCTTAGAATTGACTAATTGCATCGATAGCAACTGTGGAGGTATGCCAACATAACTTACTGTCCAGGAAATTTAAAATTGATCTGATAAGTAAGTTGAGGTACTCATTAAAAGAGGCATCATTTTGATAAAAATTAGAAAAATAATATGGTACTTATTGAATACTAGTTGACATTGAACTAGTATTTTTTGGATTTTTAATTTAGGTTAGATATTAGATTGCTAATTGTTTGAGTTTATGAATTCATTTCCACGTCAATTTTAGAAATCCAGCGCGCCGATGTTTTCTTAGTATTTTATCAACTGTCTCGAACTTGATGAAGAAAAAGTTGACCGTTTTTTCCTCTTTTTTGTAAATCAAAAAATTGAGTTAAATAAAGTAGGAGCCGTATCAAACAAAATTAGCTTAAAATTCAAAATATTGAAGATAGTAATGGCAGTTAGTAAGCTTACATCCACTCTTGAATTTGCACATTTTTATCGATCTGTGCTCTGCAGATCATCTCTTACCATTTTACTGCCTCTACTTATGCATTTCCTCTGAATTACGTCATTTTTTCGCAGAATTTCAAGACTTTTTCATAGAGTTGAAGCATTAGTCACTGATTACGCATGTTTTTTTGCGAAGCGAACTTCTTTCAGCGAGTGGGCGGCGCTTCATCGACGATTGGTGAAGTGTCGAGTGTGGGCGTGGCGTCGGAGAAGGTGGAACAATTCAGCCAAACGCGCTCGCCATCGACATAACACGTGCGCTATCAGTGAAAATATTTACAAATACCTACCTATTCGTGTATATTCGGGTAAAAATGACACAAGTCATCTGTCACGACTTGAACGAGGTTTGTATCAGTTCTTAAAACATCTTAAGCGACATCTTTACAAATTCTTCTACCACTGACAGACTCATTTTCCCGAATTTCTATCCTTTGTAGGTCTGGGATGACATTAGCGAATTTCTGGATCAGGAGAATTTCCGTTGTGGTGAGGTCAGCCGACTGGCATTCTCTCCACTTGAGACGCCGACAGTCGCAATGCTCACAAGAGCACCACCACGAGTACATGATCAACCCGTACGAGAACCGCCGATAACCCTGGCCATGCCACCACCAAGTCTTGCGTGCACCACATTTGCCTCTTCGGCCCCGTTACCACCACCATCCAGGCCATTCCTACCCTCAACTTGTGCCTTAGCTTCTATGCCTCCCACTACAAGCTGTTCCCTACTACCAACCACATCAGCTGTTTCTACTGTAACCTCGATTCCAGCGTACTATGCTCCTCAACAGTCATTGTCAGCTTTACAACCATCTATGCCCATTAAGGAAGAATCCCCACCATCTAGTCCCGAGATACCGTACACTAGCACCGACTCAACTACTTATTCTCCAAGTCCATTGGCAAACAGTTTACCAGATTTGAATATGCCAGTTCAAAGAATCCGAAAAGCAAGCAGGTGAGGGAGTAACTTGAATTTTTGGCTTTTAAAAGTTTATTAGCATTCAGTAACAATTCCTTAATTTACTGCCCTCTTTGAAGATACTCTATCTGACAATATTCCCACTTTCGCCTGTAGGAGCACTAGTCAAGTTTTTTACATTTCACTAATTCTCTCACAACAACACCTCTTCTTATTTTACTCCTACCAAATTCTCTTTCTATCTTTTCTTCTTTGTCCATCATCATACTTCTGACTTTTTCCCATATGTTCTACGATTCAGGCGGATTTTTCACCGTAGCTATGCATTAAAGGCTTTATATTCTATGAATTACTTTGTGCTTACCTATTAGGAGATATTTTTCAGCTTTAGCTACAGTCTTCTTACCATATCCTTTTCTTCTCGTCCTTTTTGAACGCCTCGAGTGTACTAATCTTTATTCTGTCTCTGCATTTCTGTCATACCACTATGGCACTTTTTAGAAAAGTCAAACTTTGAAAAACTGCCTTCAAATAAATCTAAGTTTATACTCACAAGTTTCATAGAAGCCTAGAATATGGTTTTCGGATATGCTACAAATCCTATTTTCTCTGAAACTTTTATTTTTCCTTTTTTTGTGAGATACCTAACATAATTTGGGATTACATACACTTGAAGCTTTATACGATACCCTTCTTATCTCTATATGAAGTTCCGTCTAACAATAAGCTGACCCCGTTTTCAAAATATTAGACTGACTGTTCATTCATAATGTGATGTAGGTATTCATGAACTACGCAATAAAATTTGAATTAGGTAGAATTCGCCGAGTGAAGGCTATACTTTAAAGTGTCTGAGGCCAAGGGCAAGTAAAGCTTTTCATGCGACTTTTGTTAAGCCTTTTCAACAAATATTCCCATGTACGGTTTAATTTCCTTGAATAGAGCTCGACAATTTTTCCTCATGTTATTGGCATTCTTTGCTACCATGGAGCTGATGATAGGTTGCTGTGTTGAATTCTTCGTTTTTCAGATATTTTTATACAGTTAATGATTCTGAAGTATCTTTTGCCTATGAACATATGGACGAGAAACGCTGATACGTCTCACAATACTTCCCTTTCACTTTTAGTGCTCTTGAATATTCCAAACTAATCTTGTCAACATCTTCTTTTACATAATGATCTCTTTTTTCATAATGCTTACCTTATTATCCAGCATTAGTTCATGTCCCTTATTTCATACACAATGTTTGCTTTGTCAAACTGAGCGCAATCTACAGATTCCTACACTTCCCTCTTTTGTTCTTCATTAAGACAGCTTCATCACACAATACCAGTTGCTTCTAGGCAAATTTCCCGCACATTCTTCATCTACCGTATACAGTCGCGCAAAGAGACCATGATGTGCTTATGAAAACAAATCATCTCGTCGCATTCATAAAAACATATTTACGGAATGAGCATCGCATGTATGAGCGTAAATTTAGTAGTAAAAGGACCTCAGGGAAGCCCCTATACCATAAAAATGAACATAACAAAAGAGGCAGGGGCTTATAATTTATAATTTTTGCGATAAACCGTTTGCATCCCAACTTATTCTCCAAGAGAGAAAATGAATA